ACCCTAAACCCTAAACCCTAAACCCTCGACGGACAATATATTTCCATTTCATTGGCGGATAATACTTGAAGTTATTTCGCCACTGAGGCAAACCGGCAAGTCCTTCGGTCGGGGACGGAGTGCCTGCAGCGCACAAACCCCAAATTAGGGTTTAGGGTTTAGGAGAACCACAACAAACAGGGCTACCTGCCCAGTCGCTACGCAACAACTTAAATACATTAAAAATGCATTAACTAATTCATCTCTAGGGTTTAGGGTTTAGGGTTTTGGGTCGCCTGCGGGTGAGCCGCAGAAGCAGTGAAGGGAAAGATATCGAATTAAACAAAATAAACCCTAAACCCTAAACCCTAAACCCTAAACCCCAAACATTAACGGTGATGAAAAAACGAATCCAGTGAATAAAGCAAAGTGAATAGATCTGTCAATTTTACGAACAGAGAAGCAAATAAAATCAAATCCTAAACCCTAGACCCTAAACCCTAGAGCTCCAAGTTGGATAATTAAATAACCGATTGGCCAACTCAGAAGCGACTTGGCTTCAAAGCACCGGCGAGGGTTTAGGGTTTAGGGTTTGAATAATAAAATGAATAAATGAATTAAATAATAAATGCTCAAATAAATAAAATAAATATGCAAAACAACACATATACACCACAACAGCAATTGGCTTGGACTCGTAGACTAATTAATTAACTAATTAATTAATCAATCAGCTAATTGATTAATTAATTAGCTAATTAATCAATTGATTAATCAGGTAATTAATTAATTAATTGATTAATTAATTAATTAATTAATTGAACTAACAGACCAAATAACGAATTAACCAGCTGGTTCATTCGACGAACTAATTGGCTAATTAACTAATCAGTTAAATAGTGAAATAACAGATATATAAATAAAACAAGTAAACACAGGAATCAAGTAAACAAGAAAATAAATAAATAAACAATAGATAAAGAAATAAAATGAATAAATGAAGTAAATAATAAATGCTCAAATAAATAAAATAAATATGCGAACAAACAAGTAAATAAACAAATAAATAACAAATAAACAAATAAATAAATAACAAATTGAAAAATAAACAAATGAATAAATAATTCATTTTGATTAAAAGTCCCACCGAGGAGTTTAAAGATTCTGTGGAGTTGGTCTTCATTGTTCGCCCCAGGGAAAAGAGGCCGCCCATTTACCATTTCTAAAAACAAACAAATAACAAATACATGAACAAATAAATTCACAAACAAATAAATGAATAATAAATAAATAAATAATAAACGATAAAGTATTTAGTGGATTTATTAATTGAGAAGCAGTAAATGAAAAAGATAGGGAGAAAAGAAGCAAAAGTAGACAAATTCAGCAAAGTAAAGAATAAATAAATAAATAAATAAATAAATAAATAATGACTAAAAAATAAATAAATAAACAAATAAATAAATAATGAAAGAGGCAAAAAGAAGTTCCTTTCAAATAAAAGAATTAAAAAACGCCAAAAAGAAGACCGAAAGATAATTCAAAAACAAAAAAGTTCCTTTTGATCAAAAAAAAGAAAATCCATATTTGAAAAGCTTTTAGAAAAAGTGAGAAAAAGGATTAAAAAGAAATTTACTTAAAACAGAAGAGATAAATTTTAAATTAAACTAATGTCTTCAAAAGGAGGCCAAAAGGGCCAATTGAAACAGAAAAAGAAATTCTTTTTGAAGGAAAAGAATTTCGTTTTCGTTCAAAAAGAATATCTTGAAAAATAGTTTAAAATATATTTGAAAGAACGTATTAAATACACAATTTAAAAGTGAAAAAAGGATTTCAATTTTAAACAAAAAAGAAAAAGTTGAAAAGATTTATTTCAAAAAGCAATTAAAAAGAGTATCAAAAAGTTACAAAGGACTTCTATTTGGAGAATAAAAAGTGGAAAAGGGGTCAAAAGTAATGTTTTAAAAAGGAGATTAAAAAGGGCAAGTAAAGAGTAAAAACGGACTTCGATTTTGAACAGAAAAGAGCAGAAAAAGACTTGAAAAGAATGCTCTAAAAAGGAGATAAAACGGGCCACTTAAAAGTGAAAAAAGAACTTTAATTTTAACGAAAAAAGAAAAAAAGACATGAAAAGAATGCTCTGGAAAGGCAAGCTGAAGGGCCATCAACTGGCAAAAAAATGACTTCAATCTTGAACAAAAGAAACAAAAAGAGACATGAAGACAATGCTTTGAAAAGGCAATTAGAAGGGCAATCAAACAGTGAAAAGAGGACTTTAATCATGAACAAAAAAGGGGAAAAGACACGAAAATAATGCTCTAAAAAGGGGATTAAAAGGACCATCAACTGGTGAAGAAGAGACCTTAATCTTGAGCAAAAAAGGGAAAAAGACATGAAAATAATGCTTTGAAAAAGGGACTAAAAGGGCCATCAACTAGTTATGAAAAGACTCCAATCTTGAACAGAAAACGCAAAAAAGGAAGGAAAATTACCTGCGAAAATGCAGCCGATGCTCCAAATGTCGACGGGAGTGGAGTAAGTGTTGCTGCCCATCAAAACGTCGGGGGCTCTGTACCAGAGCGTGACGACTTCGTGGGTGTAGGCCCTCACGGGGATTCCGAAGGCCCTTTTGAAAAAAAGGAAAAGGAAAAATAAAAATAAAAGAATTCAACTAACCAATTCCAGAAATAGTTAGCCAGCAAAGTGCAGAATTAATTGTGGAATGACGCGCAACAAAAAGCAAAAAAAACGGTTATTTAATTCCCGACTTATGAGAAATTTATAAAAAACAATTCGCTTCTGCGGAAAAAAGTAGTTCAAAAAGGAAAAAGAAATTAAAATCAAAACGAATAAATGCTCAAGACGGAAAGAATGCAGCGCAAATGATACAAATACACTCGAAAAATCCATTCCAACAAACCCTAAACCCTAAACCCTAAACCGTAAACCGTAAACCCTACCTTGCAAGACCGAAGTCCGCGAGCTTCAGGGTTCCGTCTCTGCTTATGAGGAGGTTTTGAGGTTTCAAGTCGCGGTGGAGAACTCTGCAGCAAACAACAATGCAAACCCTAAACCCTAAACCCTAAACCCTAAACCCTAGGCGCTGGCTGAGACAGGGCAGCGCCGCCTTTCGGCTTTGTTCAGGGTTTAGGGTTTAGGGTTTAGGGCATTCAACACCTGTGCTGGTGGCAGTAGGCAATGCCTTTAAGAAGCTGATAAAGAAAAGACTTAACAACTTGTGGCTCCAGGCCCGAAGCTGCAAATACAAACCCTAAACCCTAAACCCTAAACCCTAAATCGGGGTCTGCGGCAGCAGCAGCGCCGCGCGTCTGCGTTTCTGCAAAACAACCCCGGAGCGCTTTCTTGATTTTTCTTTCTGCAAAATTCATCGGGATCTTTGGAAAATAAATATTTAAAATAAAAATAAAAGAAAAAACTCACGTCGGCAGTCGTCTAGAACTTCTTTCAAGTCCTGGTCCAAATATTCAAAAACCAGAGTCAAGCGCTTGTCAGTGTGCACTACGTCCATCAGGCGGACAATATTGGGGTGGTGGAGTTCTTTGAGGAGAGAAATTTCGCGAATTGCTGAAATTAATTAAATAAAATAACAATAAAAATAAAAGTGAAAACAAAGTAAACGAAATTACGGGGAGAAAAGAAATAAACTGAACGGGGTTTTTCTGAACATGCAAAAACGCGCACGGGCACCTGCCTATACACCCGAAATCAAAAAACGGAAAGCTGCGGAAACTCAACAGTAAATGCAAAAATGAAACGCGATCTTCAAAATAAAGGAAATCAATTAATCATTTTAAATCATTTTTCTCCAATTTGAGCCATTATTCTCCTTTTTCCACCCAGAAAACCCGAAGATCGCCCTCCAACATGCGGACACCCCAGGTCCTCTTTCCCCGTAGGATCTTCTGGTTTAGGCGCCTCAAATCTTGCATTTGTTTGCAATAAAAAAAATTTATTTATCTTCTTGAATTGAAATTAACAAAAATAACTTTTTGCGTTCACATGTGGAAACTGAAGCACTCGTTGGCGGTTTCAACAATTCTTTCAGACGCTCAGGAGCCTAACGTTCCCTCCGACGAGAAAACTCAGCAATCCAGATAGCCCAGAATTAGGGTTTAGGGTTTAGGGTTTGGGGTTTAGGGTTTGGGGTTTAGGGTTTCGGATACCTGTGGAGGGAATGCCCTCGTCTTCGGCCTCGAGGCGAATCTTCTTTAAGGCGCAAAGATTTCCATTTGTGTCTTGGGCTTTATAAACCACTCCGTAAGTCCCTTCCCCTATTTTGTCCAGCTTCTTGTAGCGCTCCATTGTGCCTCTGCTGCAGCTGCCACTGCAGCTGCCACTGCTGCTGCTGCTGCTGCTGCTGCTGCTGGAATGTGTGTCGCTCCACGGTTAAAGCCGGGCACAAAAAGCAGCCCAGCTGCCTTGAACTCTCTGCTGCTGCTGTCTCGCGTCTCTCAAGAAACGTTGTTGTTGCAGCTGCTGCTGCAGCCGCTGCTGCTGCTGCTGCTGCTGCTGCTGCTGACGCCGCGCGCCGCTGCCGCTGCAGCGCCGCCCACTTGCTGGCTTTCGCCCTAGTCCCCACAAGTGAATCCAAAACCCTAAACCCTAAACCCTAATTCCTAAGCCCTAAACCCTAAAGCCTAGGCCCTACGTGGGCGCTGGGGCTGCAGCAGGTCCTGGCTTCGTAGCGAGGCGGGGCTGCTGCTAGGGTTTAGGGTTTAGGGCCTAGGGTTTGTTTCACTTGCAGGTGCAGGTGAAACGGAGAAGCAGCTGCAGCAGCAGCAGCAGCTGCTGCGATGGACCCTGGATTCCTTCTGCTGCTGCTGCTGCTGCTGCAGGTGCTGCGGCCTGCTGCTGCTTTGCTGCTCGCCTGAAACTTCTGCGGAAATAAGTGTGAAGGAAAAATATTTGTCAGCAGCATGCAGAAGCTGCGATGCAGTTGAGGTGTATGTACACCTGGGCGCGCACCAGCGGCGGGAAGAAGATCTTTGGATCCTTCGACGCGGAAAAAGAAAAAAATAAAGAAGCGAGACGAAAACAACCAATTAAATGAATTAAATTAAATTAATTAAACCCCAAAAGACCCCAGCTTAGCCCTAGAAGCCCCGTCGCCGCCCGGCTCCGAGCTGCGGGAGCCGCAGAGGGGCTTCCAGTTCGGGGCCAAATTCGGTGGGGTTGTTTTATTTTCTCCACTTTTTGAGTTTATTTTCCTCTTTTAAATGCTTTTATTTATTAATAAATGCAATTTAAATTCAAATTTACACCAACTTCTCCCCGCATCACACGCGGGGCCCCTCCCGCTGCTGCTGCCCAGGGCTTCCCACAGGGTTCCTGATTCGGTTTTCCCCCCCTTTTCACTGTATTTAATTCAATTTATATTTTTAATTCAAATTTATTTCAAATTTATTTCAAATTTAATTCAAATTTAATTCAAATTCGATTTATTAATTCAAACAATTAACTGTACAACAGTTTTCGTTAGCCCGCGCAGCTGCAGAACAGCCCCTAGCAAATGCAGAAGCAGCAGTGTACGGGCTCGCAGCAGCAGAAGCAAGCAGCAGCAGCAAATAAAACAGCAGCAGCACAAGCTGCAGCAGCAGCAGCTGCTGCTGCTGCTGCAGTGTGCGCGCGCCAGCCAGCAGCAAAAGCTCCGCTTAGCAGCTTTTAAAGAATGAGTCTTTCTTCCAACTTTGTTTTTTTAAAATGCCTGCAGCCTCTGCAGCAGCTGCGTTGCGTGGGCGCTGTGTGCTGGTGCTGCAGCAGCAGCTGCTGCTGCTGCTGCTGCTGCTGCGCTGCAGCAGCAGCTGCAACGGCGGCAGCAGCGGCAGCAGCTGTGTGCATCATTTTGTCCTTTTACCTGATTGTACTGAAGCACAAATTTGATTTAAATGTCAAAATAATTAAATGAAATAAATAAATAAACAAATACATTTATTTTGCTGCTGCACTTCTCATGCCTCTTCTGCCTGCCACAGGGGATCATTATCCCCGCGAGCTCTTCCGGGCCTTGCTGCTGCTGCTGCTGCTGCAGCATTTGCTGCTGCAGCCGCAGCGGTGACCTCCGCAGCCGCAGCGTTTGCTGCTGCTGCTGTTGCTGCTGCTGTTGCTGTTGCTGCTTCCTCGCTCCCCACAGCATAAATAAAAGCAGCAATGCAGCTGCAGTCATCTGTTGACCCATTCTTTCTAGCTTTTTTAACAATTGTGCTGCAGAGCTGCGTCAGTGTTGCTGCTGTTGGGGGTTCGAAAGCAGCAGCAGCAGCAGCAGCAGCGCGGTGCAGCGAGCCCGCTGACGAATTCCAGTACCCCAGGCGCCCCAAACTGGAGGTCGGGGAGCCTCCTGCTGCTGCTGCTGCTGCTGCTGCTGCTGCTGCGCTCGGGCTGCTGCTGCTCAGGTTGCTGCTGCTGCTGCTGCTGCTCAGCTGCGACCCGTGGCTCTGCGACGGCAGCAGCCGCCTCCAGCTCGTAATGCGTTTGAGTCCAGAAGGAATGGATTGCTGCTGCTGCTGCTGCTGCAGCACTGGCTGCTGCTGCTGCTGCTGCAGCACTGGCGGTTGCTGCAGCACTGGCGGTTGCTGCAGCACTGGCGGCTGCTGCGCCTGCTGCTGCTGCGCTTGCTGCTGCTGCTGCTGCTGCTGCTGCGGGGGAGGCTGCAGCAGCCTGTTGCTGCTGCTGTTGCTGCCCAGCGAGGAGCGAAGGAATGAAGTAAAGTCTCCAGCACTCGAGACTCTGCGCCCAATGCTTGCTGCTGGCAGCTGCTGCAGCTGCTGCTGCAGCTGTTGCTGCTGCACCAGGAGCTGCTGCTGGTGTTGCTGCTGCTGCTGCTGCATCACGAGCTGCTGCTGCTGCTGCTGCTGCGCCTTTTGCTGCTGCAGCAGCAGCTCCGTCTCGCGTTTTGCTGCAGTCTCCAGCGCGCGCCACAGGGGTTTTATTTGCTGCAGACACTTTAGAATTTCCTGCGGCTGCACAAAGTCCCAAACTCCATCAGTTGCCAGCAGCAGCAGCCCGCAGTTGGGAGAGCCCGCCTGTGCTGCTGCTGCTGCTGCTGCAGCAGGCGCTGCTGCCGCTGCTGCAGCAGGGGCTGATGCTGCAGCGGCGCCGGGAGGTGCTGCAGCAGTAGCGCCTGCTGCGGCACCCACCGCGGCCGCAGGAGCCGCCGCAGCAGCAGCAGCAGGAGCAGCAGCAGCAGCAAAAAGCGAAGAAATGGAATAAACTCCGATCTCAGGTTCTATTGACAAAGCTCGAGGAGGCAAACGATCTTTAACATCGAAGTCTCCAATGGACCGCGTCGGCTCCAGCTGCCCCGCCATCTTGTTCCCCACAATGCTCACCTGCAGCAGCAGCAGCAGCAGCAGCAGCAGCAGGTGCAGCAGCAGCAGCAGCAGCGGGAGGGACGGCAGCCCAGCCGCAGCAGCACGGGAAGGTGCAGCAGAAGCAGCTGCGGGGAAAACAAAGCAGCAGAAGCTCCGTGAAGCGGAGAAGCAAACGCAGCAGATGCACAGAACGG